ATCTCAAAAAAAAAAAAAAAAAAAAAAAACCTAAATAGCAGTTGGGATTTACTATGTCCATCATGGTTCAGAAGGGCCTAACATGTCTTGCAAAGTCTAGGAAATCGTGCTACAAACACATAATAATTTACTTTCAGACACGCCAGAACCAGATCATAGAGTTAATCGTTAGAAGAAAGCAAATAACAGAAAATTTACCGATAGACATACAGTGGCTCAATTTAAACGTATCTCATCAAAAATTCTGACATAAAATTTAGAAATACAATAGTACAAAAAAAGTATATATAAAGGGAAATGACCTCACGACCTCCACGACAGCAAAATATTCTTTCAACAGCAGAAAAATAATTTTATACATTAATTCAATGAAAAATAAAGGGATTTTTTTAATTACTTAAAAAGTAGAAGTCCAAAGAGAAAAATGCTGTGAAAAGCAGAAAAACTTCAGAAACGCAATTTGCCATGAAACAATGATCTACTGTCTAGTACAATGCTGCTTAAATCTTACGACAGTATCTTGCCCTGTTGATTCTAAAAGTTGAGAAGGACATAGAACTCAGCGAAAATGTAAAGGAAAGCCAGGAAAATTACTCAACAGTTAGAAAAAAGGAGCTAAAGTTAAAAAAAAAAAAATTAAATACAATTAAATGAAAGAGTAAGACATCATGAGCATATTTACCATGCTTCATGAATTAAAAGTTTAACAGGTAACATTTCCACCAAGGAAAAATAAAGGCAAATCTGAAGGAGATGGGATTATGTTAATTAAATAAGGGTCTCCAAAACAGGCAATATAATATGGCACAATGAGCCACTCAAGGATCCTACAGAATGTGTTATTCTAGGTCTGAAAAACAGGGAGAGTTTATGGTATTAGGCAGGTCAGTGAGGGGACAATGAATTCTCAAGGTCGTGTCTATCCCTAGATTACCCTCTTCCTCAAAACAACCCTCCAACCTACTATTACCTTGCTTTTTTAAGCACCACATTCTTTCCACGCCTAGAACAATTCAACCACAAATAAGACTACGGAGGATCCAAATAACACAATTTTAATGTAAATTTTTAATGTACTCCTCCCAAGCTTGCCATAATGTATCTCCTTACTGACCTTGTCTTTCCAGCCTAAAAATAGAGTGTGGTAGAATTCACAGTCCAAGTAGCCATGGAACATTTTATTTCAGGAAGAAGTTCTGGCATCACATTTCAACAATACAACGGAGGTGGGAAGAGTATTCAGAAAATGAGAAAGCTGATTCGACTGGTTTTAAGTGAATACGGGGTTGACCTTACTAGCACATTCCACGGGAATAATGCTCACTTCTTTCTGGGGCACACAATATGTTACTTTAATACATGCGAATGCCTTTTACCCAGGGTTTCGAAGATACTAAACAATTTCTACACAGATACTTTACAGTTTGTCCATGTTTGGGTAAATCTAAAGGAACAAGGAAATTCACAATATTTTTCTGGTTTGGGGTTAAGCAATAACCTTTCCTTGGTACCTTGCTATACTCCTTCAACAAGGCCTATGTTGGAAATCTTCCCAACTCACATAATCCCCCTTCTGCTTCAGGTCACAAATACTTATTTTTCTCTGTGGAAGAGTTAACTACTAAGCCTGTATAACCAGAAAAAAATAGGAAAGATAAGTAAACCAACAACCATCATTTACTGTCATAATAAGAAGCCATTTTTCAGCTCTAGAGTCTCCTTTCCTTGCGTTGCTGAGTATCTCCTCTATACCTGGTCTGCCGTGAAGAGGGGCTCATCACTAACACAGGAGACGATGATTGAGTGCATATCCAACTGTTCTCTCAGCTCTTCATCATCTGACGTATCAAAGAGCAAACTGTCACTTACCTAAAAACAAAAATACCCACCATTAAAAGCAGGACATCGTGATCAAAACAAAGTTAACAGCTCTGAGTAAAAGAGGCTGCAGAGAAAAGCAACTACTGAGAGCTTTCCCTCGAGAGGGAGAAATTATTACAATCACTCTGTACCAGGCAATGAGTACATATTCATCTTGAACAGAAATGAGAAGAATGTAGAATAAATATGAAATCGCTAAGATGCTGCATAAGGCTGCTATAAAAGCTGACAGATATGCAGAAAAAATACGGTATTCGTTAGCAAGTCATAGGGAATTTACAGTGAATAGAAGGGAGAATATGGGTAGGTTTAGCAATAAACAGTAAGACTGGTAGACGTTAACATTCTAAAGAAAACATAAAAGTTAGTTACTTGCAAACTAACTTCTAATATTTGAGTAAAAGATGATCAACTCCCTGAAAGGCGGGATCTGTCCATGAGTGTCACACTTAGCCCTTCCAATTGCACATTTCTTCTTAACAAAAACTAATAACCCTAGGCTCCAAGAACGTCTTTAAACCTAACTGAGCTGGTGATTCACCACTCACCTCCTCACCATCTTCCACCAAAGGATGCCCTTGCTATCTGGCTTCCAGGTGGGTTCAACCCTACTGGCAGACACTAGGAGACAGGAGGGTGGGATGGTGAGGGCTGGGCATGTATTCTGCTGTCTTCCTCCTTGTCAGACTATCATTTGTTGACTATGGCTCTTCACCAAAGCCATAGCTCTCATTAGCAGACTTCTCCCACACAGCCCATCTCAACAGTTTCTGGTAATCTCTCCCCCTCCTTACCTCTTCACGTCCAGGACAGCTAAAGTACCAGTTTCTGTTGCCAGCCTGGGGGACTGCACCACATCTAGTTAGTTTCCCTTAACTCTGCCCACACCAATATAAACAGCCCCCTTAATAATGACTTAAGAGTTTAGTACCAGTACTGATTGTAAAAACTTGGCCTGAAAACACTCAGTAGATTAAAATGAACAAGTGAACATCTGTCTATCATCTACCTATCTGTTACGACATGACCATTCAGGTGCTGAATGGAACTGAAATTAGAACTCTATTCCTCAGGAAGGATTAGCACACACTGAGTTTCCAAAGAATAAATGGGCAACAAGGATTACGTTAGAAGCCACCATGTCATTCTATTACATAGTGTATAACTAAAATGATAAACTTTTACCTGGCAAAATTATTTACCCATGCAAAGGATATATATCTAAAGCTGAGGACACAATGGAGTGGATGTAGGTCCCCGGTGCTTCCCTAGTTCTTCATAACATGAGCATCTGGAGTCTGCAGACGAACACAGCCTACAGAGTAAGAAACCTACAGGTGAGAAGGGCCAAGGGAAGGAGCACTGGCATGTCGACTTTCCAACATTAGACTGGGAGAAGGGCCCCATCAACACTGCAGGGTCCACCTACAAGCCTACAGTGCAACTCCAGGCTCCTGCAAAGTAATGATATCCCTTCTCATTTTATTTCTTATTGCACCATCAGCCTAGCAAAGGCCTGGCCATGGCCTTCAACACCAGCATCATGAACTCAGAACACTGTGGGAAAAAAGAAGAATCTAAAATCTTCCAGGGAAGAAGAAAAAAAAAAAAAAAGTACATCACATTAAAAGGATCAGGAATCAAAATGTCATGTGACTTCTCAATAGCAACAATAGATGCTAGAAAATAATCAATGTAACTTCCATATTTGGAGAAACTGCATCCTAGAATCCTATATCCAGCTAAAACAAGTAGGCAGGGGCTTAGGATAAAGACATTTTCAGACATACAAGTTCTGAAAAAACTTACCTCTCATATGCCCTTTCTCAAAAAGCTACCAGAAGGAAAATGAAAAAGAAAAAAGACATGTGGTCTAATAACAAGTGACAAAGAGAATTCTCATCATGATAGTAAAGTGAAAATCCCAGAATGACGACTGTAAAGCTAAACTAGAGAGTAACACTCAGATTAGAATTGTTACTGCAGAGAGCATGGAGAAGAGGGAGATGTGGGTGGGGAGGGAGAGCAGAAGGACTAGATAGATTACCTGGTGCAGTCCATTTACCAAAATGAGTTCTATGGCTCTACTGAGGCTGAATTGGTCCCCTAAATATACACTAAATAAACCACAAAAAGGCAGTTGGTATCCTAAGAAAAAACCTAAGTAGAAAAAGAGAAAATTTAAATATGTCAAAATGGGTCAACTGCACATTAAAAAAGTAAATATAAATGATGAAGATTAATTCAACCCCAGATGTTGATGTAATTACATTGGGAAGATGGGGAAAGGGAAGTTTTTGGGAGGGTATGGTGTCAGGGGTTGGCAAAGGACAGTAAGAGAGCTACACCTTCACTCTCTGGGTAGAAAATAAAGAAATAAAGTCTAAAATTGAGAAAAGAATACCAAGTAAAATGGCATGAGCATGTTATCTGCTAGAAGAAATAGGTGATATTTAAAGCGGTCACCTCTGGTAAGGAGAAATCAAGGACGAGGTAAGTGGAGCAGAGACTGCCTTTTCATTTAAGTCCTACAGTTCTAATTTACTCTTTAAACTATGACAGCTGTTCCTTTAACAATTTAGTGTTTAAAAGAAGGAGCAAGATCAAGAGACTGGGCTCTTGATGAGAGGGGATGTATGATTTCAATATCGTAGAAGATGAAAATGTGGTACACTGTTATCACAAAGGCGTGTCGATATCATGGAGTAGACCTACCGATCAGCTTCATCGATCCTTACACTTCAAACACTTCACATCCCCTTCCCAATCACTCTTCCTATGTTTCAGCTTGAGGACCATGATTTTGTTTTCTTTTTCCCCTTCTGGCTTATAAATACTAAAAGTTTTAATTTTAAAATTAATCCAGGGTGGGCATAGTGGCTCATGTCTGTAATCCCAGCACTTCGGGAGGCTGAGGCGGGTGGATTGCTTGAGCTCAGGAGTTTGAGAACAGCCTGGGCAACATGGTGAAATCCCATCTCTACAAAAAATTAGCTGGGCATGATGGCACATGCCTGTACTCCCAGTTATTCAGGAGGCTGAGGTGGGAGGATCACTTAAGCCCAGGAGGTAGAGGTTGCAGTGAGCCAAGATGGCACCACTGCGCTCCAGCCTGGACAACAGAGCCAGACCATGTCTCAAAAGAAAAAAAAAAATTACTCCTAAGGAAGCCCAGGTTGCCATGGCTCACACCTGTAATCCCAACACTTTGGGATGCCACGGTGGGAGGATCTCTTGAAGTCAGGAAATCAAGACCACCCTGAGCAACACAGTAAGACCTTGCCTATACAGAAATATTTTTTCTTAAAATAAGCCAGGCATGGCAGTGCTCCTGCCTAGCTACTCAGGAAGCTGGAGCGGAAAGATCGCTTAAGCCCAGGAGTTGGAGGCTACACTGAGATATGATGGCGCCACTGTACTCCAGCCTGGGCGACAGAGGGAGACACCCTCTCAATCTATCAATCAATCAATCAATCAATCAAATTGCTTCTATGGAAGATGTTATTATCTTTTTCTTATTTCTACTCTTAAAGGTATAAAGATGCATACAAAAAGTCCCTGTCCTGGAAGAAATGCACATGGAAGGAGAAATACAGCACGGAAGATGTTCTTAAGCTGAAATGAATGAGAAGCATTCTATCATATAAGCATATTCAAGAATGGCACCAGATTTAGAATAGGTTTATGGCCAAAACACATGAGTAATAACAGTAAACTATTATAATAAATTTCCATGACAACAGAAATGATCCCAGATCATCTTTCCAGAGAGAGAGCCAACTCCATTCCCCACAGAGATGGCATATGCTAAGAGCTGGAATACCTTTCAGGCTTTGCAAACTAGCCCTGGCTGTCCTGGGTATCATTATTCACTCTCCCATTCGGCATAAATGTGCCTTCTCTTTGCCAAGCATTCCCATCACTCCTTCCAATGCCAGGGTTAGATACAGACCTGGTGGTACTGTTCCCCTGTATAAAACTGAAGATACATCAAATGGAAAAAATGTGTCCACGTAAGAATGTGAAAGATACCAGTTGCCTTACTCTAAAAAAGACCTATCAAATTTAGAAGTGTGCCATCTTAATCTTCAATCAAAGAAAAATTTTAAACTGCAATCTAGCAAACTAGTTTTCCTGAATGTTTTTCTCACTTTAATGCAAAAAAAATTCCTCTTTTGTCAAAAAAAAAATTTCTATAGACTTTGTTTTATAAGTAAAATAATCTAAAGAATGCTTTCAAAAGGTAAATTTTAATTAGCTTAATCATGGCACGAATAGAGCACCAGGTGGCAATGGCAAATACAGTAACTTTGCCAGGTTAAAAAAAAATGTTTAATTATATGCTGTGTAATAGAATGATGTGGTGGCTTCTTACATAGTCCTTGTTGCCCATTTGTTTTTCAGAAACTCAGTGTGTGCTAATCCTTCCTGAGAAACAGAGCTCTAATTTCAATTCTATTCATCACTGGAATAGTCATGTCACAACAGAGAGATGATAGGTAAATGATCACGTATTCACTTTCATCTGCTGAGTTTTTCCAGATAAGGCTGTTTTTGGTGTTTTTTTGGGGGGACAGAGTCTCGCTCTGTCACCCAGGCTAGAGTGCAGTGGCGCAATCTCAGCGCACTGCAACTTCTGCCTCACAGGTTCAGGCAATTCTCCTGCCTCAGCCTCCCAAGTATCTGGGATTACAGGCATGTGCCACTACACCCAGTTAATTTTGTATTTTTAATAGAGACAGGGTTTCACCGTGTTGGTAAGGCTGGTCTCAAACTCCTGACCTCAGGTGATCCACCCACCTCGGCCTCCCAAAGTGCTAGGATTGGCTGGGCGCGGTGGCTCAAGCCTGTAATCCCAGCACTTTGGGAGGCCGAGACGGGTGGATCACGAGGTCAGGTCGAGACCATCCTGGCTAACATGGTGAAACCCCGTCTCTACTAAAAAATACAAAAAACTAGCCAGGCGAGGTGGCGGGCGCCTGTAGTCCCAGCTACTCGGGAGGCTGAGGCAGGAGAATGGCGTAAACCCGGGAGGTGGAGCTTGCATGACGACATGCTCCAATTTTGAAATAAAATGAGCAAGACTCCGTCAAAAAAAAAAAAAAAAAAAAAACAAAGTGCTAGGATTACAGGCATGAGCCAACACACCCGGCCAGTAAAGCTTTTTAATGTCAGTACTAGCATTAAACTCTACATCATTACTAATCACTACCTTGGCTGTATCATTACCCTGGCATTGAAAATAACATTCAAAAGGCAACAAAAGGGAGCGACTTCCCAAGATGCAATCCAAGAACAATACAAGATATACAGCAGTCCCTCAGTATCCATGGGAAATTGGTTCCAGGATACCCTAATACCAAAATCTGCAGATGCTCAAGTCCCTTATATAAACTGGGGTAGTATTTGCATATAACCTGTGCACATCCTCCTGTAAGCTTTAAATTATATATAAATTACTTACAATACCTAATACAAGGTAAATGGTTTATAGTTGTTATATTGTATTGGTTTTTTATTTTTATTATTTTTTATTGTTATTTTACTGTGGGGTTTTTTTTTTCAAGTTTTTGAATCCACAGTTGGCTAAAGCGCAGATGTGAAACCAGAGGACACAGTGCGCCCACTGTACATTTAGTCAATGAAATTGGATAAATGTGTCTCATTCATGCTGCTAATGGGCCTGTCTTTGAAACTATGAATAAAAACTCTTCTATGCTATTTTTAATATGTCAAAAAAGTAGTACCCATGGACTGGTTTCGGTGCATTCTGCATTATTTTAAATAATATAGAAAATATTTTTTTACAACCTTTCTATCATGATCTCTGGCCCTACAGTTTCACCAATAAGGCTACTCACTTATTCACTCAATAAACAGGTATCTTCATATTTACTATGTGCCAGGAACAGTATAGTTACTATAATGACAAATATAAATGCCTGCCGGGAAGTCACAATCTAGTGACACACCCAGAAACATATGATTAACAAGAGAAGGCAGTGGTCATTTTAGAGACAGGGACAAAGTGCTCTGGGGACTAGCACCCATGAGACAACAAGGCTAAACCCCGTGGCACAGATAATAAGTCCTTTCCAAGTTCACAGCCCCACAAGTGCCATCAGTTCCCACAGAGCGGAGTGTGTTCTCCTTCCGTGCCGGGATTTAGGCCATGGCTAAATGACCATCTGTCAGAGATGCTGGAGGTGGGGATTCCCCCCAAGTGAGAGGCTGGATTAAGTGTCCTTTAAAGCCCCTTCCAACTCTAACATTGTATAATTCCATGAGATCAGCGAAGGCTAAAACAGTAATAGGAAGCTTCAGAGAGGAAGGGAAACTTGAACTAAGCCCAAAATGATAGTCAGGACCTAAGTAAACATAAGACAGAGCAAAAGATCCCTCATTTTGTTCCTTTTCATTAAATGTATGCCAGGTCAGTCTGCAAAGCCTAATGGGATTAATGATTGGCACAGTCAGGAAGATTTCCATCGCTACTGAATACTGGGAAATATGGCCAGAATTCTACATTTTACTAGAAAATAATAATAGTAGGCTTCTCTGATTACATATATAAGAAAATCCTTTTAACAAAACATTAACAATACTATTTAAAATACTGACAGGCCTACTGCACTACACTCCCAATAATCACATAATTACACTTAATGAAATACAGAGCACGCAAGATCTGGCATGAGTTTACATTATTATTTAATAAGGAACTTAAACAGCCTGAAATTTAGATAACTTGACTATGTTTCTCGACAGCTTAAACAAAGTTAACACTGTGATTTTGCATTTCAAGTAATTCTCTGCCCTTTTCTGCCCCCAACCTGTCCTATCACTTGTGCTCACACTTCTTAGTCAAGGCATCTTTACTTTATAATACCAGGACATACACAGGAGCCCTCAAGAAAGATAAGTTAGCCAAGACCATATTTAAAAAGCCAAGTACTAAAATGTCGTTTAAAGGTTCTGCAGTATTCGCAGGAATACATAGTCTCCTGACAACATATCATGTCTAGCAGGTCACTACACTCATTCAAAAGTTAACTCCATGTTGAGATTCCAATACCCTCAGTATATTAAACCAAAGGCTAGCATTTTTACTGAGTGTTTCAGTGCACCAAAATTGTACTGAGTGTTTCAGTGCATCATCACTGCCAGGCGCAGTGGCTCACGCCTATAATCCCAGAACTTTGGGAGGCCAAGGTGAATTACCTAAGGTCAGGAGTTCGAGACCAGCCTGGCCAACATGGCGAAACCTTATCTCTAATGAAAATGCAAAAATTAGCCGGGCGTGGTGGTGCATGCCTGTAATCTCAGCTACTCAGGAGTTTGAGGTGGGAGAATTGCTTGAACTCGGGAGGCAGAGGTTGCAGTGAGCCACTGCACTCCAGCCTGGGCAACAGAGCGAGACTCCATCTCAAAAAAAAAAAAAAAAATTGCGATAGAAATTTAGCTACACATACAAAAGTGAGTGTGCTGGAGAAGAACTGGAGGAATGTGCCAGCAAGGTAACAGCCCTAGAGCCAAGACAGCAAGACAGAGCCACCCCAACTGCCATAAGTGCGGAAATGAGAGGCAGGTCAATGAATGAGTTGGGCAGAAATGCTGCTGTTTTAGTTGTATTACCAGCATGAGTTATTCAAACTCTGTTGGTTCAATTCCTAACTTACCCCTTTTTCTGAGAGGTTCAGAGTAAGCAAGTGCAAGGTCCTAGTATGCGATGACTTCCAGTCTACAGGCATCACATTCCCATAATTATCCGTCAGGGCATTCCAAATCCTTAAAAAGAAGAAAGCTACAATCAATGAAAATTAACATTCTGTACGTCTTTCTTAAACAAATATGCAGTGAAAGATGATCACCAAATGTCAAAGGAGAAAAACAGAAAGCACATTGTTTCTCAGAAAAACATCAACAAAGTAGAGTCTCCTAAACAAAAACTAGGTGAAAAATCACAAAACTGGGCTGACAAGAAGTCCTAAGGGAAGGTGAAGGCGTACAGAAAACTCCCAATAGGCAACAGGCAACACTTCCATTGTATCAGGTGCTAGGCGCTGTTCTAAGCAATTTACATGTATTAACTCATGTAATCTTCAAAAACAACATTAGAAGGGGGAACCATTATTATCCTCATTTTACAGATGAAAAAACTGAAACACAGGGAGGTAAGAAATGTTTCCAGGGTCACATGAGTAATAAATACAACTGTGCATTACACTTCTTTTTCTTCTGTAACTTCAAACACACAGACCATTTCGAAAAGTGAAAAATCTCTCTCAAACAAAAGGTTTGTTATCTTTTCTGGAGAAAGAATTCACTCTCAATGTGAGAACAGGATTTAATATCTAATTCGTAATAAAGAAGCTAAGTACTAACGCAGATACGATGAAAAGGAGTAGGAGAGGGAGTTCACAATAAAATGCACATAGGCTCTATCCAATGCAGTTACCTGACCTTATTATCCAACAGCATTACAGGGAGGCAAGAGGGTAAAATGGAAAGGGCATTTGACTGAGACTAGGGAAACAAACGCTTGTCTCCATCCTTCTTCAAACAACGGGTTATTGGCCAAGCCCCTTCACCTCCCTAGGTATCCTCTGCCCTTCTATAAATGAGAGACCTGGGCAAGAAGCAGACACTCCTTCCAGCTCCATTACTCTAAGCATTAATTCAAAAGAGCTGTATTGAAGAGAGTCCCACACCACACCAGATAAGAACACCTAACTCAAATTTCATGACCAAAATTCAGGTTTCAATACTAAAGTAATAATCGGCACAATAAAACATGATGTTTTAAGAAAAATTAAAGTTCAGAGATGCAATTGACTTGAAATCTAATTGGGATAAGTAAAGTCAAACACTAAGCAGATGAGCTACTTACTAGCTAGAGGTATACACAAAGATGTCACGTAGAAAAAACACCCTAAAATGTGTATTAGGTATCTAATTGTGAATTCTTTCCAAGTGTGTAGACACTAAGATACAAAAACAATCCTGGTTGGGACATAAACATAAGAATGAAATTTTGTTTAAGTTCCGGGATACATTGCAGGACGCCATGGTGATTTGCTGCACCTACCAACCCGTCACCTAGGTATTAAGCCCAAGAATGAAAATGTTAAAATACAGACATAACATAGTTAACAAATAGGGATTGGGCACTAAAAAGAAGCAGCAATAGGACTGCAACTGCTAAAAGCATAACATCCCAAACGATGTTTGGCTTTAAAATGCACATTAGGGACAGGCCTGGTAGCTCATGTCTGTAATCCCAGCACTTTGGGGAGCCAAAGTGGGAGGACTGCTTGAAGCCAGGAGTTCAAGACCAGCCTGGCAGCAAAAGGGAGACCCACAGCTCTACAAAAAAAAAAAAAAAATTGAATTGGCCAGGCCCATGGCATGTGCCCGCAGTCCCAGCTACTTTGGGAGGGTAAGGCAGGAGGACTGCTTAAGCCCAGGAGTTCAAGGCTACAGTGAGCTATGATGGCACCACTGTACTCCAGCCTGGGTGACAGAGCAAGACCCTGTCTCTAAAAATATATAAATAAAAAATAAAATTAGCCTCAATAAAAATGTGAACCCAAAAAGCTCTAGAGAACTAACTCATTTACCCAGCAAATCTCCCATATGCATGGTCCATTCCTATTCTCCTCTCTGTTGGAATCATATCCCCTCTAATGCCAATGAAGTAGAATTAGAGACAATGTCTGCAGACTGCTAAACTTGCTGGGTTTCTGGCTCATACCCTCCTGGGTAAGAAATTTTCAAACACTGAATAACTGACTGTATAGTCCATTTTCATGCAGATGATAAAGACATACCCCAGACTGGGAAGAAAAAGAGGTTTAACTGGACTTACAGTTCCACATGGCTGGGGAGGCCTGAGAATCATGGCGGCAGCAAGGGAAAATGAGGAAGGAGCAAAAGCTGAAACCCCTGATAAGCCCATCAGATCTTGTAAGACGTATTCACTATCACGAGAATAGCACAGGGAAGACCAGTCCCCATGATTCAATTACCTCCCCCTGGATCCCTCCCACAACACGTGGCAATTCTGGGAGATACAATTCAAGTTGAGATTTGGGTAGGGACACAGCCAAACCGTATCACTGACTATAGAACTAATCTTGGTCAGGAACTTGAGTAGAATAAACAAGCAGGTGAAGACAATCCAGAATTTGAGGCATTTGCTTTGTCTGCTTATTCGCTCCTTCTTAAACGAGGCTATAAGAAAAAGGCAAATGGGAAGGAATACTTCACTTAGAAGCACCTGTTGGTGACTTTGCTCTTCCAAGAAAATGAAAGCCAATTAACAGTCTCCACCAAGGTCAAAACAATGGTAGTTGGAAGGACATAGAGGCAACTCTAGTGAAAGATTTCTAGAATTCTGCAGTCAAGACATATGAACTGCCTTCATCTTTATCATAAAGCATTACAACCAGTTTTAAACAATGGTCAGGAGAGCTCTTTTGCAAGGAGGTCAAAGTCCTACCAACATTGAATCCTGCAGAATACTCTTACAAGTAAAACCTCAGTAGATAATACAATCCATACTTAGCCAAAACAAAAGCTGAGGCTCAGAGAAGTTAAATAAAGTGCCAGGGGTCAGGGAGGGTTTTGGGGTGATTCAACTATATTACATTTATGGTGCACTTTATTTATATTATTATTATATTGTCATACATAATGAAATAATTATACAACTCACCATAATGTAGAATCAGTGGGAGCCCTGAGCTTGTTTTCCTGCAACTAGATGGTCCTATCTGGGGGTGAGGGGAGACAGTGACAGATCATCAGGCATTAGATTCTCATAAGGTATCTGCAAACTAGATCCCTCACCTGTGCAGTTCTAAATCCTATTAGATCCTACCTAATGCTGCGCCTGATCTGACAGGAGGTGGCTCAGGTGGTAATACAAGCAATGGGGAGGAGCTGGAAATACAGACGAAGCTTTGCTCACTCACTCAACCACTCACTGTTGTGTGGCCCAGTTCCAGTACCGGTCTGTGGACCAGGGTTTGGGGACCCCCTGACCTAAAGCACAGCAATATCTGAGTAAAACAATTATCAATTCTATCTAGTGAAAAGGGAGCTGGAACAGACTATCAAGCAATGCTGAGTATGTTTCTGTAATATAAAAGGGACAATGCCAGTGATGACCAGCTCCCAACTCCTGAAAAAAAAGAGATTTCTTATGCATTCCCAAGTCAAGAGACATGAATTACCACCAACATACCATCTACTAAATACCATTAACAAGAGCAACAACATATTTTTAAGCAAAGGCTAAAATAACCTACTTTCCTGACAGTCTAAGTGAAATAAAGACTTGTAATGATCTACATACAATCCTCTAATTGATTTAAGTCAGCTACTCTTGATAAACCCAAATACATAATAAACCTACACTAACTTTTAAATCCAGAATGTGTCCCGGGTTTAGTGAGTCAGAGTATCTAAATCTACATATACATAAAATTATCTTCTCTTTGGAAACAGGCTTCCAAAAATGTCATCTTTTGCTACTGACTGCATGCACGTGTGTATAAAATCCAATTATAAATTTTTCCCTTCTCCACACCTGGGCAGAACACTGTACAGAGGAACCAATAAAAGGAGATAGTCTCCAAACACAGGTGCGTCTGCGCCACTGCTCAGCCATGTTTACAGGCCCCACTCCCAAAGCTGTCTTTTCAAGCTTCCTACCTTATTCCTGATAAATCTGTTTGTTTCACAGAAGGAGACAATCAGGCTGGAAACTCCTTTCCATGCCTGTAACTCCTGCCCTGTCTTTCAAAACTTCTTCCCTAACCTCTAGGGTTAACCTCTCCATCCCATTAATGCTCTGAAAATCCATTCCTTCTCATGTCTTCATTTTTGAGACAAAGTCTCGCTCTGTCACCCAGGCTAGAGTGCAGCTGTGCAATGACGGCTCACTGCAACCTTCGCCCCCCGAACTCAAGTAATCCCCCCACCTTAGCCTCCTCAGCAGCTGGGTCCGTGGGACCACAGGCATGCGCCACTGGACTCCATTAATTTTTTAAATTTTCTTGTAAAGACCAGGTTTCCCTATATTGCCCAGTCTGGTCTCGAAATGTTGGAAGCAAGCCATCCTCTCACCACAGCCTCCCAAAGTGCTGGGATCACAGGTGTGAGTCACCGCACCCAATCTTACTCCACTCGTTTTACCTTCAGCCTCTCCAGAGGCTCCTTTCCCCCCATATACACAACATGCTCAAGTCCCCTTACTCTCACCATTCCTATTTACCAACTTTTGGGGGTAAAACCATGGTACCTAATTACAACTCTTAACCAAATTATAATTGCGGCTCAGGGAGGTTTAAAAAGTGCCCTCAGGAACTCTGCGCCTCCCCTCCCCCAGCTTTCACAAATCCCCATGAACCTCCTATCATTGCACTTAGGTGATTCTGTAATTATTAATATTACTTGTGTATGCCTTGGTCTCCCTACCAGCCCATGAGATCGTTACCATCAGTAAACAGGGCCCTTCGTTTTCGTCTCTGTGGCGGCTCGCACTCTACCAGGGCTCTCGGATGGGTCCCACAGACTCCTGTGCCCTAAATGCTGCCTCGCTCGTTGGTACTTACGCACAGGCAATATACTCCACCTTGAACGTTAGACTTTTTTCCACCTGCCAGGCACACTCCCACTCATCAGTCAGATCTCGTTTGCACATTTCTCTATAGTCTTTCCTGACTCTCCCCCAGACATACGCTTTTAAGTCTCCCACATTTGGTACATATAACCATTGCAGCACTAATTACATCCATACAAATATTTGTTTACACATCTATCTCCCATCCTACGTCGTGTCCTAACTTGGGAGGGACAATGTCCAGTCGTTTTGGTGTTCCCTGTGCGAAGCGGCGCCCGGCACTCAGCAGGTGCTTAATAAATGCGACTTGAGTGAATGAATGGCGACACACGTGCCCCAGGAAGTGCCGTCTCAAACTATGGCTCTGCATTGGCGATTCCCCTCTAAAGCAAACGAGGGTTTGGTTTGCAGGAAGGAGGGCGGGAGGCACCGAGGCGGAGGTTTTCAGGGCGCTTGGCGGGCGCGGGGCAGGGGATTTAAATCGCTGGGCGAGCAGAGGCCGACGGCCCGAGGAGGGACGAGAGGGCGGGGAGGCGAGAGGGCGGGGACTCCCGCGTTCATGGAGGCGGAAGGAGAGCGCGGGGAGGAGCTGCGGCCGGAGGGCCAGCGGGTCGGGCGAGGGGCAGGGGAGGCTCCCGCCCGCTCCCGGCCGGGGCCCGCACTCACTCGTCCCCCTGCAGGAGGCTGCGCTCCGTGATGGGCCGCACGGCCGCCCTCGGGGGCTCGGCGCCCGGATCCGAGGGGCGGAAGCACAGGCTCAGCTTCTCCTCCAAGCTGCAGGCCAGGGCCGGGAAACCGTCGGCGCCCCCGCCCGGCCCGGCCCCGGCCCCCGCCCCCGCCCCGGCCTCGGGGCTCGCGTTACAGTTCTCCTGGTCCAGGAGGCTCCGGGTCGGCTGCTGGAACTCATAGAAATCCTGCCAGTCCCCGTCCGCCGCCATCGCCGCCCGGAGCAGTCGCGGGCCCCGCCCCGGCCGGCCCAGCCCGGCCCCGCCCCTGCCCGGAGCCCCGCCCCCGCCCGCTACCCGGCGGACAGATCCCAGGCTATCCCATTCCTGGGTCTCCGCGTTGCCCGAGTCTTCATGGAGTAGAACCCGGTGCTCCTAGAAAGCCAAGACCTTAACTGCCTTGAGTCACTTCCTATATTCTCTATCATTTAGGAGTAACTTCCCTCTTAGCTTCCCTTATTAGAAACCTGGCCTAAATGTGGCTAAAATAAAGGACTTCTTTAAACTTGCGACCTAATATCAGATAACGCCCCGAAAGTTGTTTTCCCCAAGGTAACCTGCTCCTTTCCTAACTTGTCAACCAGAATAACAGCCAGAGTCACTGGGAAATGTTTAAGTGGTACCGAAATTCATTCCTCAAATATTTTGGCTCTCACGTGCAAAGCACCTGCCAGATCCTGCAGAACAAACAAAGATAAATAATTATGCTAGTTAACATTTGCAAAGCACTTAGAACAATGCCTAGTAGTAGATACCCTGTATGTATGTTATAACTAATACATGGGTGCCGCATGCACAGGGCTTACAATGTCGGAGTGATAAGAGTAATAAGAAATTATTTAGACCTCATAAAAAGTAAGTGTGGGGCCGGGCGCGGTGGCTCAAGCCTGTAATCCCAGCACTTTGGGAGGCCGAGACGGGCGGATCACGAGGTCAGGAGATGCGAGGACCGTCCTTGGCTAAGCACGGTGAAACCCTGTTCTTACTAAAAATACAAAAACTAGCGGGGGAGGGTGGTGGGCGCTGTAGTCCCAGCTACTCGGTGGCTGAGGCGGAGAATGGCGTGAACCCGGGGAGGGCGGAGGCTGAGGCAGGAGAAGGCGTGAACCCCGGGCGGAGCTTGCAGTGAGCTGAGATCAGGCCACTGCACTCCAGCCGGGCCACGAGCGAGACTCTGTCTCAAAAAAAAAAAAAAAAAGTTAGTGTGATTGGGCGGTTCGTTTTGCAAGATGAAAGAGTTATGGAGATGGGATGGTGGTGATGGTTCCACGACAGTGGTAATGTGCTGAAGGCCACTGCCACTTACAAATGGTTAAGATGGTAATTTTGTGTGTATTTTACTACAAATACAAAAAACGGAGGGGCCGGGCGCGGCGGCTCCACGCCTATATCCCAGCATTTTGGCAGGCCGAGTTGACGGATAGCTTGAGGTCGAAGTTCGGAGCCGCCTGGCCAAAATGGTGAACCCTACCTCTACTAAAATAACAAATCTAGCCAAACATGTTGGCAGCACGCTATAATCCCAGCTACTCGGAGGCTGAGGCAGGAGAATCCCTTGAACTGGGAGCAGAGGTTGCAGTGAGCCCAGATTGCACCACTGTAACTCCAGCCGGGCAGCAGAGCTAGGCTCAGTCCAAAAAATAATTTTAAAGGGACGGTAAAAGTAAATATCATAAGGAAGTATGAATGTGTAGAGGCACGAATGCTCAGTAGTTGAGAAGAGTGACATCTCTGGACTGGCATGATCAATATATCACTTAGAAGTGTGGGCTGGGCCGCGCGCGTGGCTCAGCCTGTAATCCCAGCAACAATTTTGGGAGGCGAGACCGGCGGATCACAAGGTCAGGAGATCGACATCCTGGCTACGCACGGTGAACCCGCGTCCTCAATAATATATCAATCAAACTAGGCCGAGCGAGGTGGAGAGACGACATAGATAGATAACCGAGCTCTCGGCGCAGGCTGAAGGCAGGAGAATGGCGTAAGACCGCCGGAGACGGAAGCTTGCAAGTGGCTGACTGATAGAGCATAGCATCTAGCCGAGAGCGACGAGCAGACTCTATTCTCAAAACAAAAAAAAAAAAAAAAGAAGAAGGTGGAGCTGGTTAGGTGATGAAAGACAAGCTCATAGTTTGAAAAATAAATCTGAAGTTAGTAATAGAAAATAAGTTTTTCCCAGTATGCTTTGTCCATCTCTTGGCAGCGTGGAAACACATTTTCATGAATACATGTTAATACCAACATTTTCTTCTTTACTAGTCCAATAAATGTTGTGTTTTACTTTAGGGATTTGTCCCATATCAAATAAAGTAGTTCTGTGATTAAGCCTAAGATACTGTTGATAATTAAAGGAAATGTTGTTCCCTATTTCCCTTGAAACCATAAAGGGAGTGGATGTTGATCCCCAGTTAGCCAAGAGCTAGAACTAATTAGTCAACAGTGAACAATAGCTTTTGGATTGATGAGAAAACATTCTGACTCAGCTATCTGAACGTTACTCAAAAGTGATGCTCCAAAATATCAAAGAGCTATTTTTCTCCAGGTGTTCAACTACACACACAAAGTTATGAGGAAACTATCTAGTTGATGCAGACTCTCTAAATTGTGTACATGGCTAAGATAAAATTAATTTATTTTTCTTGACTCATATTTCCATTTACCTGTTATGCTGTGTCCACATGTGAGTGAAAATGATTGCTCTTAGAACCCAAATGTAGCACTGTCAACATTTTCAGATGTTTTTAAATAAATTGCCTCTAGTTTAGCTCCAGTAGTATTCGAATTTTATTTTAGTCAAATTTCTTACACAGGATGCTTTTTACTTTTAATTAAAGAGAAATTACTTGATATTACCCTATGCATTTTGAATATCCCTTTGGGAAAACAAGATGAAAATCACTTTTCTTGGTCAACTCATGTTTGCATACTCATGGTAACCTTGGCACTCAACGCTATCCGTAAGAAGTCTCCAGATGTGTCTGTGAGAAAATACTGTATTTATCTATAATGTTGACACTTTATAGGGACAGAGCAATTAGATTAGAAAGAAATCAGAGAGTGGAATAAATTGTTAATTGGTGCTTTGGTAGATTTTAAATAGTTACTGTAAACACAAACACATAACAGCAGAAAACTGTTTAAATACTTGTAAATTTAAACCGTTTAAATGTTTGTAACCAGATAAAATTATAAAGTAGCAATGTTTCTCTTCAATGCCTTCCACACACCTCTCTTCCCATGTGTGTCTGGGGACTTCAGGTTGCTCCACAGCCTTCCAGATCATCCTATAGGAGAAGAGACCATGTTCCACCCAGATCGTGGCCCCATTCCCTTATCCCCACCCTTTCCTTTAGTTCCTTTGGTACTGGGCGCAGACTTCTTTAAGAGAATCCAGCTCCAAGTTACTGTTCTGTAAACCCCTTCACTTAATAATTCCTGACAGCAAGCTTAGCTCATTTCCCAGTAACTCTCCTACCCATCAGCCAAATTCTAGCTTCCTACACTGCCACAAATCTAGAAACACCACAGGCTTCCTGCCAGCCTCGCCTGTTTTGATCAGTCCATCAATACCCAAAAGCTTCCAATTACGAAGAGGTTCTTTCACTTTGTTGTATCTCACATAACCTGCTTCTACTAATATGTCCACCAAAATCTATTTATTTTGGACCTTTTATTTCCTACCAACTCCTGCAGGCCATAAGAAAACGAACACGTGTAAACGTGCTTACTCACTTGATATATTAAGAAAAGCTAGCCTATTGAATTAATTTTCAGCCCTTGATTCAAAATTAGAAAGAGAATATAGAAGAACTTTTAAAGAGAGATTTATAGCTCTTGAGTATTATATGGATATTAATCATTTAAGATGGAAAAGGTTACTTTTCTGTTTTGACGATGTACTTAAATTTTGCACATATATATATCAGAGTGGAAGTTTACATAACAAAAAATTTTAAAATCAGTTATTCAACATATAGGCCACCTGTCTTGGTCCATTTTGTGTTGCTATCACAGAATCCCACAGACTGAGTAATTTATAAAGAAATTGATTTCTCACAGTTCTGGAGGCGAGAAAGTCCAAGATTATGGTGCTGGCATCTGGTGAGGGCTTTCATGTTGTGTCATCTCAAGGCAGAAGGTGGAAGGGCAAGAGAGTGTGAGAGAGCAGGGAGAGAAGGAAGGTCAGACTGATTCATTTATCAGAAATCTACTTCTGCCATAACTAACACGCTTCTGAGATAATGCTGTTAATTCATACATGAGGGCATTGTCCCCCATGATCCAAACACCTCTCAAAGGTCCCCATGATCCAAACACCTCTCAAAACTGTTGCATTGGGGATGAAGTTTCCAACACAAAACTTTAGGGGACACATTCACACCATAGCACCACCTAAAAGTATAATCAGTCAGAAAATATAAGAACTGCAAAAGAAACTGTTGAATACAAAACCAAAAAATATCTTGTTGTCGAAGTACCATACTTAGCAAAGGCCAGAGGCATTATAAAGCAACAGTAAAATAATGAGAAGGTATGTAAATGAAAGTTTATTGAGAAGAGCTAAGGTAATTGATGAAATCATTTATAACTAGAAGGAAAAAAAAAAACAGCTGATGAAACAAAAGTAACAATAATTTGGAAATCTATATGGTGACCCAGTAATTTAAGGAAAGATTGCTTGCTTGCCAAAAAGGAAAGAGTAGCTTCTCTTCATTTTTTCTCCTGTAAAAAAATAAAAAGAAAAAAAAAGAAAAATCAAATTAACCAGACATAGTAGCATGTGCCTGTAGTCCAAATTACTTGGGAGGCTGAGGCAGGTGGATCACTTGAGCCCAGGAGTTCATTACAGTGAGCTATGATGGCACCACTACACTTCAGCCTGGGTGACAGAGCAAGACCCTGTCTCTTAAAAAATAAAAATCAAGAAACTGTTGAGGAGACAAAGACCACAATCTAGAATTTAGTAATAAAGAATATTTCATTCCAGTTCATTCAAGTTTGATAGAGATAAATCTTTAGTGAACAGCCATACCTTCCATTTTAATGATTAAGCCAGCGTCCTGATCAGGCAGAACCACCTGAAGCAGAAGCAGTAGCAGGCTCCAAGAGAAGGAACCAGGGTGACTGGCCATGGCTGCACCCTTACAAGGCACCACAATAGCTGGGTAGGGAAAACACTGCCAAGTGCATGCCTGCTTGTGTTCTGGGTAATCAAATGCTGGTCTCTTAAAAATAAATGGAAACAACCATTGGCGGTAGTTGT